TATATTCACACATGTATGGTAGTTTACTTATTTAAGAATGACTTTTCCTAACATATTTTTTCCATATATAAGAAAGAAGTTTACTTAATTCCATTCAATTTTTATGTGTGTGTGTATAGTTCAGGAAATTGTACTTGTAGTCCCAATATTGGCCGATATGCAATTTTATTCCCTAAACTTTCATCATTTTGCACTAAGTTTCTAATTTTCATAATTAACAACTATAAAATATTTTGTGGGTATTATAGTTCTACCCTTAATTGATGGTCACTTGTGGTGCTAGTGGTATGCATTCCCGCATCGATAATCGAAGGATTGCAAAATTACAAACCTTGATCTAGAATATAAAAAGAATAATGGATAGTACGAAGATGTTGCCAACAAAATGTTTTTACAAATTTTGTTGGTCGATTCAATGAGTTCAGAAAAAGAGAACAAGTGACTGGAGATTTTCTTCAAGTCCAAGCTAAGTTCGAACCCTAGCAACATGATGCAAATTCGGAGATTTTCCTCCTGATTTATTAATATTCTCTTCTTCAACCTCACTCGAGGACGAATTTTTTCCAAGTGAAGGAGATTGATGTACAACAATTTTAATATAAATAGGACAAGAAAATATTTCTTTTTGTAATAAGATTTTTTTTCTTGTTTAGATTAGGACTTTATTCTTTCAAGTTTTTGATTACTTTTTCTTTAAGTTTTACTTATCTTCTTAAGCTATTAAGATTAAAAGATTATTTTGCCTATATAAACAAATACTGCACAATATTTTCAATAAATAACCTATTACAATAAATTATTCTAAAAATTTTTGAGTTGGTTCAACTTTATTCTTTTTTAAGTAATTCAATTTCGCTCCCGCACCAAAATGATATCAGGGCAAAGTTTTACCCTTGAATTATGGCCACCTATGAGGGTAGTGGCATGCATCATCGTAACGACGATCAAATGATTGCAAAACTACAAACCTCGGTCAGGGCTGATAAAAAATTACAGATTGACTATGAATGTTAGTCACTTCAATGAGTCCAGAAAACGGTAACAGTTGGCTAGATATTTTCTTGAAGCCCAAGCTAGGTTCGAATTCAAACAACGTAATGCAAAAATTTCGGAGATTTTCTTCATAATATTCTTTTCTTCAAGCTCTCTCGAAGACGGATATTTTCTTAGCGTGAGAGATTGATGCGTGACAATTTTTTTACAAATAGGATATTTTATCATAGAATTTTATTTCTTGTTTACATTAGGACTTTTAATTCTTTCACCGTTTTTATTACTTTTTCTTCTAGGTTGAAATAATTTATCTTCCTTAATCTATTAGGATTAAGAGATTATTTCATCTATATAGACAAAGGTTTTTTTGTAAGTTTTTTAATAACCAATTTATTACAATAAAATTATTCTACAAATATTCAATTTGGTTCAAATTTATTCTTCTTTAAAGAACTCTATTTCCTCTTCCGCACCAAGATCACTTTCCTAGCTTGATATCTCGCCAAACAAACAAGGCTTAAGAGTAACTTTGCTTTCAAGCAAAAGATTCGAGAGTACATTGGTATTATGTAATACAGTCACTATTGTTTGGTAAACCTTTTATATATATTGTACTCGTCACAATATTAAGCACTCCTTTTACTTCGACTATTTACATGGTACAAATCCACAGAGAAAGTATTCTATTTACCAAAACCGCATAAAATGAAACAAGAAGCTTGAAATCTGCATCAAAAAATAACTAGTCTTCACTCAATAGTAGCAAGTACACGGACCAAGAGGAAAAACACATTCCTATTTAAGCAGAAATATTTTAGATATTTGTTATATTGGAGATTTTTTTTACTGTAGATCTCATGTTAGCGTACAATTTTTTTTCAGTACCCCATCCATTTTTGACGATTTTTATAACGACTAAGGCGACAATTTCAGGCCTGTCTTATATCAATTTATTCACTTTTTACATAGTATTTGATTAGCAATTTATAACCATAAAAGTTATTTGCTCTTGAAAACTAAAGTACTTATAATAAAATTACACAGCCAAAGCTAGTCATTTATCCACAGAGGTAAAATAAAATTTATCTAAAACATAGAGAGATTATGTTATGAAGACCAAAATCATATTTTAAAACAAGTTTTATTTATTGGTGAAGGACTAAAGTTCAGTTTTACCAATAAGCTATCAAGCATGGTCCTTTTTCATTGCGATGACTAAAGATATTACTGATAAGTGGATAAATTTCCATTTTTGTAAGTCATAGTGTCACACCCCATTTTATGCTAGTCAAAAGTCAAGATTTCGTTTCAAAGTCAAAGCCAATTAGGGACTTAAATGGAATACATTATTTTCTTGTGGTTTATTATACAATTGACAATATTTGAGGGTTTAAGATGAATATAGTTTAAACTTGGAGATTTAGTTTACTAGTAAGCAAAGTTCATGACTAGATTTTACTCAAAACATAAAAGGAGGGACTTGATTGCAAATATGGGAATTAGTGGAGAACAAGTGTCACTCTATACAAAGTACTGAGAGCAGAGAAACGGTAAAAAAAAAAAATAAAGGGAAAGGAAGGAAGAAGAGCTTGAGTTCAATTTCTTCATTTCTTCAAGAGGTAAAGAAGTAATTTTTTTTATGGAATGATGATGTTAAATTTTCTAGGGTTCTAAGTTGTTGGTTTAATTTTTAGATTTAGTGAAATAAGTATAATTTCTTGCTTAAGCTGCTTGATTAATAAATTTCCATTTGAATCAAGGTAAGCAATTTTAGCAAACCCTAGAATTTTTAAATGGGTTATTGAGTAAAGATAGTTTGTGAAAATGATTATGTTGATGGAATACTCACCTGAAATAATGAATTTATGGAACAAGATGTAAAGTAAATTGGTGGAAGTGTGATTTCAAGTTTTCACTATATTGGAAGGTGTGATTATTTTTATGATTGGGATGAAGGTAAATTTGGATGGATCATGCTACATGTACCGAATTTTTTTACCAAATCTTTTACTTACTACTCACAATGGGGATGGGGACCACATTATCGGAATTTTTAAATACACGCGGTTCTCGTGCATTATGTGTGGGGGTAATCCATTATGTGCAAACCATTATATACAACTGGAGTAAATATTGGTGAATGTATTAGAAAGTAGAATAGCTCCAATTGATTAAACAAATTTTGTGGAATTTATTCAAGTATCAAGAAATAAGTTTAAGTATTCCATCATTAGGTATTAAAGGTTTCTTGATTTGATAGTGGTTAAATTGGTTATTTTGGATCATATTTCAAGTGGTGACGAAAAGATTAAAAAAGCTTATCAACCTTCATAGCCTGTAACTTGTCTTGAGTGAGTGGAAAAAACTTATTTTCCAAAAATAAGTATTTATTAAACTTAAGATAGATCAGAAAGTTACTTATTTCATATAGTTGAATTGACAGCATGATTTTCAAAATAACATGAATTTTATAATTAGTTCTTTTAAAAGTTAAATTCAATTCAAATAAATCATTTCGTTTGTATGTTATATTAGTATGTTTCAACGTATCTAAAGTTATTTTTAAAATCATCTTAAAGTACCCCGGTGATTTTTCCGCTCTACACTGGTGTGAATGTGTATCTACAGTGTAGATCATTATGCTGGTTTTACCAGCTCTGCATTATTGTGAATGTGTTTCCATAAAGTGACCATATTATAGCCTTTGGGCAGCTCTATGCGCGTATGATCAAAATTACGAAATTTCATAATTAGATAGTTTTTCCATGTATATCGGTATTAATCGATAAATGAGTATTGTTATTCTATGTACCTTTTTGGTGTGACTTTTCAGTATTGTACAGCTTATCAAATTTCAAACTATAGAATCTAGTTTATTCAATTTACAAAATAAAGATTTCAGCTTAAAATACTGTGAAATGATATATTTATTCATAGTATGGATATCAGATTTATTATATCGTTATATCTTACAGTTGTTTATTCATAATAAAGAGAAAAAAATTTTATGATTTCATTATACTTTAGTCTTAAAAGTATTTTCTGATTTTAGACTTTCCTAACGTTGTAATAGCACGAGTAAGAGTTTTCAGAAAGTTTGCATAGATGGAAAGTACACTTATTTGCGAAATATCCACTCACTAAGTTACAAACTCATATTTTATCACCCTTTTTCCTTAACAGATATTAGCTGAGTAGAGCAACGTTGGAGCATGTCGATCCAATGAGTTGAGCCACATATTGTCATTAGTTGTATGACTAATTTTGTTAGTTTATATAGTTCATATTTCATTTAGGATACATACATCTTTTGTCAGAAAAGTTAATTTGTAATTTATGTATCCGTATCATGGGTTCATTGCATATTTGGTATCTTTAGTGTATTTGGGGGCTTTTGTTTGTAAATAATAGTAAAGGTCAATTTGACAGTACTGTATTTTGAATAGTTTGTGTTTTGAGGGGCTGGTGTACCCTATTTTAAATTATATGTACAAGTTTGAGGAAAACAATTATAGTTTAGGAGGTTTTAGTCCATATTACAAAGGAAACTGTCAAAAATTTTATAAAAATATAACACAGTCAAAGCAGGTCAAAGTTGCCTTGGTGGCAGGTCCGACACTTAACTGGTATCTACTATCAACGCACGTTACGTGTCAGGTCCACTAGGGTGATTCAGGACGGGACGTGTCACATAGCTTGAACAAAATTGATTGGAGAGGGAAGTACAAAGATATCTAGATAACTTACAATATCACATTACAACGAAAAATGTTCTCATTTAACTGTAATTTGCAGTTATTAGTTGACTGCAAACTATAGTACATATATTTGTGTCAAAAAAATGATATTAGGTATAAGTGTAATTCTAAATGTTAATTTGTTATTAAGCCCGGCTATCAAGATAGACATGTTGGTCAATCAAAATTTGGATATTTAGCTAGACCTGACATTCAACTCAGCCAAACACTAAAAATTTGATTTCAAAATGAAACAAAGAACGTGCTTGCCTGCTCAGGAACTCATCCCCAGCCGAATGAGTCGGTTTATGTGTCCGACGTTGTGGCAACCCATTAACATCTGCAAGACACAGACAAATTTAATAGATTACCATAACAACTACAAGGAGAGGTGTGTCCTATAAAATACATAGGGAATGACATCATACATGCCCATAAATGTCTGCATTGCTAATGAAATAAAGAGCATCTAAAAGAGGTAGAGAAAGTGGAGTTGTCCACAATAATTTCATGTAGAAAATGCCACAATAGTAGAAGTTTGCCTCAACCACATACAGGTGCAAACATATATTCGTTAATAAAGCAAATAATTATCTATATATACATAAGAGAAGCATCTTTATGCAGCCTTTCAAAAAATATACTATGGGCATACATCTTATAACAAGTAATAATATAATTTCCACTCGCCTCAAATGAATACCCTACCCCCTATTTAGTTAAAAGCTTATACAGTTTATACCACTAAATCACCATAGTACCCCTCCCCTACTTTAACTAAATAAATGGAAAAATTGCCTTTGGGGCATATCATACACACATCCTCGACATACTGACAGGAATTTGTTACTGGGAATAATGTATAACCATATAAAATTTATATTTAACTACATAGTTTTATGTGCTAGTCCAACTGTCAACTATATTACTGGATTCAAAATTGATAGCTATTTTCTATTTAACATGTCAAAGTAAATAACTGATTCAGAACCACCTTCGTATAAACATTTTATACGGCAAGCATTTTGCCCAAGAAGTATCCATCATGTTTATAACAGGAATAAGCTTGAGACCTCTTGTTATTTCCACTAAGCAAAAGAAAATTTTTTTATTTCCCATACTGATTAATATGTTCAGTAAAAATTGACTGCAGCCAAAAATGTTAGCCAGAACAAGGTCTGTAGTTGGTAATTAATCAGATGAAGGATCAGTATATTGCTGTTCCATTTATGTCAAACCTTATTTCAAAAGGCAGTATACTCTACGTTTTTGGATGGTGTTCGTGTGTGTTGGGGAGCGGACGGAGCTACAAGAAGATAAAAATGAAGAAAGAGAAGACAGGATATTAACTTTTCTTTTTACCATTTTTATGGTTGAAATTTTCTTCCTACAGCAGGGTAACATCAAAAGTTGACATTAACTTCACATTTGTTTATAGTAATGCAAAAGGTCACATGGTTATCATGGTATGAAAAAACCTGCTGAGGCCCACCTCACTGTGATGCGCAGCTTCTATGTCTCGAGGCTCAATCTGTGAGGCAAAAAAACTGAGGCGCACGCCTCTACATCCGAGGCAAAAAAAATTAGGCGTGCGTCTCATTTGAAGTATTTTTTTTTAGATTTTTGAAAAGGAATTAAAAAAGGTTCTCTTTAAAAAAGAGAATGGCCCACTTAAAAAGACATTTTAGGCCAAACAAAATATTAAAATATCTGAATACCAAAAAGCAGCCAGACATCCTTCTACACGGCAGTAAAAAATCTTCCCAGAACTAAACTGCAGCCAGAAAACTTATCTTTAATCATTTGCTTAAAAGAGGTCCTCAAGTGTTGCTTATATGTCTCTTTTCTCCTTTGCTTCTGCCTTCTTCTAGTAACTTACAATTTAAAATTGTTTCACTAGACTTTACTTGGTTTTTTTTTTGTTCAGTGCATCGCCACCAGATAGAGATCCTCATGTGCTTCTTCTATGTCTCTTTTCTCCTTACTTTCTGCCTTCTTCTAGTGACTTACAATTTAAAATTGTTTCACTAGACTTTGCTTGGCTTTTTTCTTGTTCAGTGCATCGACGCCAGATTGCACCTATTTTATTTTTGGTGAGGCTTACGCCTCATGACAAAAAAAGCTTCGGTACCCGTTTACGTTTTTTCAAACTATGATGGTTATGTCCTTTATCAAATATAAAACAGAAATAGATTATTTCACAGTCATCATGCTAAGACTAGTACATGAAGTGTAAGTTCATTCATGGTGCGACTCCACAGGTATATGCAAAGAGGTATAGAACTTGAAGGTTACAAAAGACAACAATACGTCATCTTAATGATCAAGCTCAACCAGTTCATCGAAGGTGGAATCTGGACTTAGAACGCGAAAATGACTTATTTAATTCACCAATCCTTCTCTTTCTTTTATTTTATATAATTATTTTATTTAAATTATCTTAAGTTTCTAAAAATATAGAAGAAAAAGGGGAAGTAGAGAATGGAGCGATTTTTCAAATTGGGTCAAATATTTGTGTTTGTCCGTTTACAAAGATGTCACCCATTGGATCGACAATGCAATGTTGACTTGAGGAATTTAGATATAATAAGACAACTCCAATGAGATTAAAAATGAAAATTCGTAAGGACTTAAAGCACACACAATATTCCCTGAACAGAAGCTAGGCCATTAAAAATACTAACACCTAGTTGGAAACATATATAACTTGAACATGGCTTCAACCACTAGATCACACAATGGTGCAAAATCTGCATTTAGAAATCAAAAACAACCTGCTGCTCATAAATAAATCATTAAATTCCACCTAACAGTTGCACATTGTAAACAATCTGCATTAAAAAGAAAAGAAAGAACAGTTACCTTCTCTATTGTGAATAGGAGCAGGAGCAGGAGCAGAGTCAGCAGCATTAACTCTTCGATCTACTAAAACCTGAGCAAAAGTCTCAATGATGTCAACATGTCATAAGATGGGATAAAGAAGACACTAGGAAGCGAGAAAACATTGAAACCAAAAAATGTCACGTGGTAAATAAAACCTTCAACAGGACGGGATTAAGCCCCTATTTGACAACCATTATTTAAACTTTTTTTTCTACATACTCATTTTCAACTATACATTCACACAATAAAATATTCTGCATGTAAACCCAAAATTTTTCCACCCTTAATCACACATTCTCCAAAAATTCACAATTCAAACCATTGTTTTTCCTAAGTAATGGTTGTCAAACAGGGGCTAAACCTATTGGAGTTTTATGTCCAGAATAGTGCCATTTATTGCATTAGATATTCACCATCCACGCACCAGAGTGCAGCACACATGGAGATTGAATGATGATGTTACTTGTTATTAGTGGTAGACATAATAAAAAAAAAAAAAACCACATTCAATGAAATGTTTGTGCTTCTTTAAATTGAATAGAGAAAGACAAAAAAACTGAAAAAGTAAGGGTAATGTATTTTTCATAATCTTAACCATTCTATGAGGCAAATAAAAAGAAACTCAAACCATATGTAAGAAGGGGGGAGATGCTGACCTCAAGGCCAAAACAAACTGGCAATTCTGTTTGTGTCTCTTGTCCATCAGCTACCTGCTTTTTCCGGTCCGGGTAAAGGGAATAACCAACACACGCATATCTAAAATCTGTGAGGCTTCTACCCTCTTTAGAGGCTTCCATCTCAGATTCTCCAACAATATATCGCGGTACTAGTCATCAAACATGGAATCAGTACTCACCCGAGTTATTAATTTTATGAAAATCAATATGAAGAAAACTACACAGATAACTGCATGATCTGATGTTTATACTGCTGAGATATGTTACATCATGCACAAGTCCACAAAATTCAAGAGAGCATTGAGAGAACTATTCATCTTCATTTCTTTTTAAGACCTATATCTCTTCAAAACAAACTAGTTGTACTTAGCAAAATGGAAACCTACGAGCAAAGAGCTCATCGTATTCTAAAAGCAAATCTAAGACGTGGCAGATAAAGAAACATACACAGACCACACATACATGTCTAATTGGGTAAAGTAAAGAGACTTTTCTTTCACCATGAACACTTTTCTTTCTTTCTCAATGTAAGAATCATACGCAAGAGGAGAAAATGCTTGTGAACTAGCATTCACGGATATAAAATCTGTAACCTTACATAAAAGAAATTCAGTCCTAAACTGTTTCAAAATAAACAAAAAATTTCCACTATCTTTTTTATTCAGAATTTCGAAAATTAAATATCCTTGCCAAAGCACTCAAGGCACAATATTTTTCAAGATATTGAATACAGTAGAATGAAAAAATTCAATAAAGAAAAAAACACAATGTTCGAGGAAATCAATTTTCAAAATCGCCAATCAAATAAAAAATCCGCAAAAAAATAATGAAAAAAATCCCCAAATAATAAATAATCGATCAAAACAATCTTGGAACATAAATATTCATTTAACGGGAAAAATCCAGGAAAATAAAAGGGTAATTAGGGTTACCATTGGGAAGGGACCGGGAGAGACCAACGCAAAGAGGGTTTCGAGAATCGGCTTTTAAATGGGACGAGTAATAAAGGCAACCTTTACAAGACTTCCCAGTGTGAATATTTGCATTTGTATTCTTCGAAGAAGATGTTGAAGAGTGTTCTTTCAGTTGATTCGTGTCTTCCATCTTGTGGTTGATTGATTCGTTTGACGGTTTTGCTTCCAAATCCAATCCCTTGCTCGGATTTCGCTCATCTTCTTCACCCATTTTTCTTCTCTGGTACTTCTTTGTACCGAATACTGAGTTTCTTTTTTTTTATTCGGATTGGTAGAATTATTTTGGCCAAATACTCCTCTTGGGTTTATTTTCCATTTTTATCTTTTTATCCAATTGTTTTCTAAAATACTTTTTTTTTCTTTTTTCTTTTCTATTAATAGCAGAAAATCTCCTAAAAATATTTTTATTTGCGATATACCCCTACTTATTAAAAATCGCAGAAAAACCCCCATTTAAAAACTTTTGTGTGAAAAAACCCACCTACCGTCAAATTTTTCCGTTAAAAATAGTAAAAATGTCAAAGTTAAAAAGTAATAATTGTAATTTTAATATCTAAACTTTTTATCATTTTATAAATTATACCAAAATTTTTTATGCACAATCCCAAACCTTTAAACCATTTTTTTCCACCCCACCCCTCTTCATTTTCTCCCCAGTTTTAGTCTTTAACCCACATTTTCTATGATGAATCTCGATGAATAAAACTTTCCCTTTTTCTGTGTACTAAAGATTATGATTTTAGATTAAAATGTCGACTGTAGAAACTATAATTGCTTAGTAATTAATCGGAACCTCGGGAAATTTACGCAGTCCAGGCAATTCCCATTTGATTCCCTTCTTGGTTTTCTCCAATTCTTGCTCCTCTTTTTCCATAGAATCGCTTGATTTTGGAATAATCAAAAGCGTCTCAAAGGCCTTAACCAAATGCATCACTCTTCCAGCCCCACGATCCGACACACTCTTCCTTGCCTCTTCCAACAATATTGCCCTCCTTCTCTTCATACTATTTCAACATTCACCTCACTCCCATTCAAATCATCTTCATTTTCCCCGTTAATCTCAAGAAAATCACCATTTTTCTCCATCATCAATTCGTATCCTTGTGCAAAATCTGTATCAGAATTCATGGAATTGACTTCACTCTCCTCTTCGCACTACTCTACCATTGCATTCCTTTAACTTCTTGAAATCAACCACATCGTCTATTTTACCATGGTTCTTAAAAAAAAATCTTGAGAAGCCCATAGGCTCTCATAGCCACACAAACACTTTGATCTCTCATTTGTCTTCTTACACTTGGTACAAGCCACATCAGCCGCCAAATCATTCTATTCATCTTTCTATGATTTCTTCTTTGTGATCACAAACTTCCTCCCTCGAATCTTGTTATTCAGCGAAGGCACAAAATTAGGGTTTTCGGAAACTGCCTTCTTTGTGCTTTTTGTAGATTTCACCAATGGCAAATTCGACAACTTTAAACTGGACCCAACACATTGGGATTCAAATTCTCTTAGTTTTTCAAGGAGATGAAGAATTCAATGGGATTTTGATTGAACTGGGTTGTAACTGTAAAGGTGATTTGGGGGCTATTCACAAGAACTGTGCTGAAACCTTGTTCAAGATCAAAGGGAGACACGTGAGTTCAAATTATGCCCTTGTTTGACATTCATTTTTTTCTTCTTCTCTTTCTCATTTTTTTTCTCTTTCTTTATTTCAACCACACATTCTATCAATACAATAATATTACACATAAACCCAAAAATTCTCATTACTTTTTAACCACACATTCTTCCATCAATCACTAATCCAAATCAAATGCTTTTTCAAAATGGGTGTTAAACACAACCTATATTAAATTAATTGGTTATTATGTGAAAAATAAATTAAAAAATTATTTTGGGGGAAGAAGATGAAGTGGGCTAGGATGGGGTATGGTGAAAAATAAAGTTTTAAAGATTTGAAATTGTGAGTGGCATATATAAAACATTTGGATTTAATTTGTAAAAAATTAAAATGTTGGGTACTGAAATTGCAATTATTTCCTTTTAATTTTGTTATTTGTTTTTTTACTAATGTCAACGAAAAATCTAACTGCTATTGACGGTAGGGGGTTTTTGCACAAAAGGTTTTAAATAGAGGGTTTTTTGCGATTTTCAATAGATATGGGGTATATCACAAATGAAAACGTTTCTACGGGGTTTTTCTGCTATTAATCCATTTTCTTTTCAACAACACATTCATCAATAAAATAATATTATGCGCAAACCCAAAATTTTTTCTTATTTTTTTACCACACATTTTTCATCATTGTACTATTCCAAAATGCATTATACACCAAAAAATAGGGTTCAAACATACCCCTTAATAAAAATTACATAATTACTAAGATTCAAAATATATTTTCAAAGGGAAAGTTGTAGCGGAGGTCCCAAACTTTTTATTTTGTTATAGAATGCACTTTAACCTTTCATTTTTGCAGCCACAATTCCAAACATTTAACGTTCACCCAATTGGAGTCTATTTGACAAATTAAATCCACTTATCCATTAGTCCACCCCGAAATTAAACAAAAAAAAAAAACCAAAAAAAATTAATGTTTGCTTCACCAAACATCCAACCCTACTCTATACCTATCAACAACAAAACCTAAAAAACTTGTCATCGCTACCCATTGTCACTCGTCTACCCAATGTCGCACCGTCACCCCCACAAACACCGCCACCAATGATCCAAATCTCAAACAACAATACAAAATCACTCAAATCCAAAAAAAAAATTAGGGTGTGTCTGGGAGAGATTATCCCAAGAGTTAAAAAACTTAGAGTGTGTCTGGGAGAGATTATCATAATTGAAAATCAATTTTTGCATCAAATCTTAAGGCGTACTGACTGCTATCTTGAGAAGTGTGAGCATGGAAATTGCACAAAATGGACCATTTAATCCTCAGTGAATTGGGTAAGGTTTGTGTGAACGTGTAATGTGGAGGGCAAACTGGGAAATTGTACTGTACTTGCCTCTGTTTGTCCTGCAAAGGTGTCAGCTATTTTGCAATAAACAATTTTCCAACGATTCTTTTTTTGATCAGCAACGGTCCGAATTATACTGTCTAGTACGCCCAGACACGCCCTATAAATATTTGCTTTCCGACAAATTGCCAACCTACCGAAACTTGTTGACCCAGATTCATTCCCACTTCCACAACCTTCTAAAACCTTTTGTTGCATACGTGTTTTACTCTCACTCCACTATTTAAAGTAACCCATTTTCTTCGTCGTCTTCTTCGACAAAATTCAGGGGCTAAGGTGGAGTCTTGAGCTCTTCTTCTTCTCCATCATCAGGCCCTGCAAATTTCAATGCACTCCCTTCTAATCTTTGAGTACTCCAAAGCAAAATCAATCTTTATCATCAAATTTCGAGCCTACAACTCAAAAGTTGAGCAATAATTCTGAACGAAAAATTGAGGATAAAAAACATGCAATTCGAGTTAATTTAGATAGAATGAGAAGTCAGAAAATGGATTTGACCTATTTAACTCATTGATCACCTCTGGAGAAAGGAATCCCAATGGTTATGGTTTGAAACTAGGGGTGGGCATTTTTTTCTTAAATCAGACTAGAACCGATTATACCTCGAGAATCAATCAGTTCCGATCCGATTCTCGGTACTGCCTTGAGAACCAACAATAAATTCGATTCTCTCGAATTTCTCTTTTTACTTGAACCAAGATGTTACATTTTTGAACATTAGACTCTAAAATCATCTCACATTAAAATTCCATTTTCCATATGCTTCTGCTTCTGCTTCTTCTTCTTTCCTTTAATGGGTAATCAAAATTTAAGTTTAAATAATTTTATAAATATTTTTCAAATTCATAGTTTTCAGTACAATAGGAAAAATATATTTTTAGTTCAATATTTCATAAGAATTCAAATTTCTCGTTATTTTCAAAGTAGTCGACAATCAAGAATTAAGATCCTTGAAGATTAAATTAAATATTTTACAAATTTATAGTTTTAATGCATCACATAGGAAAAATATATTTTTAGTTCAATATTTCATAAGAATTTAAATTTATCGTTGTTTTCAAAGTGTTCGGCTATCAATAATCACGATCCTTAAAAAATTCTAAAAATAATCAGGCTATTGTTGAATGAATTTTCTTAAATAATAATTTTCGATCGAGATTTTACCATTTATCATGTGTTTAATAGTTTATCATTTTTTGCTTTTATAAGTTGATCGAAATTTTTTTTGTTGTTGGATTACAAGAATGGCAAGTGGTTTAATATTCTATTTTTGTCTATTTTCAATTTGAAAAGTAGTTTCTTACTTTATTTTTATAATTTTTTTCAATATAAAGAACCGAATTGGACAGAATTGAAACTGGTTGGTTCGGTTCTGATTCGATTCTATAGTTGAGTATGGAACCAATGGTTCCATTTCTAAGATTTCCATTGGTACTCGGTTCGGTTTGATTCCTTTCAGAACCGGATCAAACTAGACCGCTCTCACTCCTATTTGAAACGACTAATTGAGAAGCCTATTGAAGCAAAGATGACTAATTGCTCTCTTGGGCAAAATATCAAATTGCCACCTTTAGCAACCAAAAAGGGTAGGAGAGAAAGCAGTGGTAAATATCAGTGGAAGAGTTAAAAAAAGAGGTATGCAAAGGAAGGGTCTTATGATGAGGAGATTGCGATGAATAGAATAAAGAGGAAAATAGGTAGTGAAAATCTGAGAATTGTGAAGGTGGAAACTTGAGTTTAGGTCATTTAGGTAGTGGGAATTTATAGTTTCACACGGGCTTTGATGTGTCGCGATTTGTTCCATTTACATGGTTTAATCCACCTCAAGTGCCTTTCTCTCTTCCATGTTCTGGAAAGGAAAAAAGGGTGTGCTTTGTACCGAGCAACATGATAGCTCCGCAAGTTGGTGTTTGCGAAACTAAAATCTTTGTTCTTTCTCGAACAAAACAAATCTTAGGCATAAACTATATGACTACCTTAAGCAAATTACGAATAATAGACTCAACGTTAAACTACTATCCATATATACCTCAAGTTTGAATTCAAGTCAACACTTCATAAAGATCCAAATATCAAAAATATATTTTACTTTATCTGATGCTCGACCTCCAATGTGTGTGTGATTTACCGACATTGAACTCACATCCATACTAGAACACAACCCATTCTTCTTGTTGCTAGTTT